TAGATTTTTTTTCTTATTTTTCCTCAAGTAGTTATGCGCAGGTCCACCCTCCAGAGCCCGCTTATCGTTGAATTTTGGGACACGCTGTATACATAGATGTAAGGAGAGACTAGATTTCAGATAAAATGGATTAGACCCTTTTTCACCTCGTAGCAAATTGTTGCGAATGCAACAGAATTTTCGTAATGAAAATAATATAACTTTCAAAACAGTAACTAAGCACTCGTCAAGGGCACATTATATAGACTGAACCAATCAACTAACACCACATTCATGTTATTTCATCCCTACCACAATGTAACAAACTTTTTGTATGAACTCAAAACGCTCAAAAGAAACGTTTACTTTTGAATTGTACTTCTGTAAGAAATCACCACTGTTTAGCGATTAATGGCACTACTCTTGTAAACCAGCAGCCTATTGCCAGCAACGTATTATAGTCAACTCAAATTGTCTTTAATTTTACAAGCATGTCGAGATTCTCTACATCTTCTACTTGGGTCTGGCAGCATCACCAATGTAGGCAACACTAACAAACTCATGGACATAAAATCTAAGTCCTTGGTTAATATTATACTTCTAGAGGAGACTTAAGACAATCAAAGCTAAGAATCTTTTCAAGTCGTAATTAGGCCGCAAATTCGGAACAGGTGGTGCATGCAGTGGATGTAGTAGATGCAGTGCATGTTACGAATTTAGGGCCTTTGTGTTGTGTTGTGTGTGGTAGTAATCACAAATGATCTATCGCTGGCTACAATGATAAAGTGCTACACAAGCTACGCTAATATTTTGTAGAAATTTTGTAGAGTAGAAAACTTGATACGGCACATATTGTTCACCAGTTTTTAACCCCGACCGAGTGTGTTAGGGAATAATGCATCTCCCATTTGAAAATGCGTATATTATATTTTAGGCCATGAGAGAGGCGAGAATCTAGATAACAGAAATAATAAGATATTTAACAAGTTACATTATGTGATACTTATAATAATGATTTTAATTAGTTTTAATTTTTTGTGTCATTTTTCAGATAGCTGCAAGTCTTGACAAAGCTCTGAACATAGCACTAAAGCAAGCAACTTCTGCCAATCAACATGTGTACAAAATCTCTTTGGTTAAAGGATTGTAAGTATTAACAAGTTCAATAATACTGTGCATAGTAGTACAATTTATATTTACCACAACATCTGTACTGTATCTATGACGAACTTTACCATTATTCGCAAGCATTATGAGAAATGACAAGACATTTTTATGAACTAATATAATATTAATGAAGAACATTTTACATAATAGATTGAGACGGATTTTTGTCATCCATGTATTGTATCATATCATATTTATTATCATTTAATAACCTTTAGTATAAATTTATTGTGTTACTATAGTTTTAAATCTTGGAAATGCAAATGTTGAACATCAAATGGAATATTTTTATAGAAGCATGACATTGCCCCTTAAATGAATTTGTGACTCAAAGTCATTAGATAATTAGCAAGAACATCCAGTTTATTTTAATTCCTTGTGTTAATGTTATATCCATCACTATTTATCATAAACAAATTATAAATGTCTGCAATGGCATTTACTATGTACCATCTGCTTATTCTACTTAATGTCAAAACAATTTAAACCTTGATATTTTCTTTACAGACCGTTTTACGGATTTCACGACAAAGACCACCTTTACCTTAAGATATTCCTCTACAGTCCTAACTTAATAAAACAAGCAGTAGAACTGTGTAGCAATGGCGCTATATTGGGCCAATCATTCCAACCTCATGAGTCCCATTTGAATTTCACGCTACAATTCTTTATAGACTTCAATCTGTTTGGTATGAGTAACATTGATTTACAAACAGTGAAATTTAGAAGATCTGGGCTATCTCAGAATAGTAATGAACCAGTGATAAGCGATGATGAATTCCATTTGAAACCTGAAAGCATGTGTCACTTCGAAGCCGACTGCATTGCTTCGCACATAATAAACCGACAAAGAATTGGCAAAGGAGATGGAATAGAAAACCCAGGCTTAGAAGAAGTATGGCACCAAGAAATGGAACGAAGAAAACAATTGAATGTCTCAATAGGTTCCAAAACTTTAACTCAAGCAAGATTTGATACAGATCAAACCGAGACACATTACAAGTTTGAGAAGATGATTTTGGTGAAAATATCTGGTTTGATTGACAAACCTGTTGAGAGTGATTTGAACAATGAACTAAAACCGAAGGATGATTTACAGAATAAAAGTGAAACTAATAAACCAAAGGAACCAGTACATTATCCGGCGGAAAGTCTAGAAGGAACACAACTGTTTAATGCCGTTGATGTTAGTATGCATCTCCCAGAGAATTTTGGTACCAATGATAGTATACGGAAAAGCTTAGATGAAACTCTGGTTGGCGATGCAGATGATACTATTGTGGATGAGAATGTCGCTTTGAATTGTAGTCTCTCGTTGCATTACAGTCAAGTTCATTGTAAGTTATTTTAATTGGCTTCTGCAAATTTCATTGTAATTTCTTCAACAGGGTACCACAACAGTGATTAAGTTGCTACAAATAGCTTTAGACAATATTAACATTGGTCATATTTTGCGGTAAGACATCATCGTGTTACCACGAATCATTCTACAGTGAAGAAAATTATGAAAGAACAAAATAAGTACACATAAAATTTGAACTAAAAACAACAACACTTTAAATTTAAATTTGCCCTTGTTATTTCACACACTGGGACTAAAAAGTCTCATTCCGTGGTATTCATTTAGTTGCAATACCAACTAAGATTTTTACCAGAGTACTGAAGGGTAAAATATACTTTTTTTTACCATCATGCCACAAATAAAAAATCCAAGAGTTCAACAAATACTATAACAAAAATGATAATGAGCAATATCATATTACATTTCTAGTGGATAATGACGATCTCGAGCTAGTAGATATGCTTCAAGACATGGATGAAAAACCTATAGAAGAAGACAGCGTCATGGGAACCCCAGCTGAAGCAGAAAAGTACGAAGAGGATTCCGATGACGCTGATTACTCGCAAGCTTTCGATGATGATACGATTCTTTTACATCCTTTCGAAAGGCAAGCCAAAACACGACATTGCCGTACTTTTAATCCAATTTCTTTTGAAAAATAATATTCTTTAATTACAATAATGAACTAAATTTCTTTTTTAATTAAAATAACATTGTGGTAAAAGATTTGATTTTCTAGATATTAGTTAATTGAAAATCGATTATAAAATTTCTTGAAGCGTCCTTAATGTTTACCTTCACTTTAAAACAACTATGCGTCTTTAGGTCTTCCAGTAACATTGTGACTCTTAGCAATGCGTCAATCAGGTATTCTCCTATCAAGTGACGTCTATAATAGTTAAAGGGATCAAACTAAAACCATGTTGACTGACTTAATATTTTATTCCAGTAAAGATGATAATGAGGAAAGTTCACCGAACTGGAATGATTCCTTCTGGGATGGAGCAAATATACCACAGCTTGATGGAACATGTGACGATGAACGTAAGATACTTTCAGATTTATCCACTAGATTCGTATAAATTTCTCTTTCATCTTTTCTTTGAATTTCATTGATTCCAGATATTAAAAAAGTTAGAAAAAGGAAAACAAGGCCATTCAAATTAGGATTATCGAGACCTAAGAATAAAAAAGGAATGAAATCAAACCTTCATGTAGAAAACTCTTCAAAAACTGATAATAATAACGATTTAGACGAAATCAATGCTTCCAGAGAAACCATAGATAGTATTTCTGATTTACATCTTAAAAGGACAGTTAAGGCAGATATTCCAAGTGCGCTTGACAATTCTATAAATACGGATTGCGAAAGTGTAAGTAAGCACCAAAAGACTAATGAGTCTATATTAGATTTAGTTAACAAAATATCAGTCAAACATGAAATGACATTAGGAGCTGCCGAGATATATGATATCAATAAGCAATTTGAACCAGTAGCTGGACCTTCTAGAATTAATCTAGCTAATGATAGTACCAATAAAATAAATGATGACTTTAGTGATTCTTATGAGTCTACACCCGAAAATGGAAAAGGAATCGTGAGTTTTTATAATATGTCCAAAATATTCGATATATCATTAGAAGCCAGTCAAACAAACGAACACATAAATCATTCGATGGAGATTTGTAATGAAATGCACATGCATACCTCTGTATTGGAAGAAAACAAATGGGAGCGTGTTACAAAAAACGTACAAGATGAAGTAACTAATTGTTTTGACAATCATAATATGAAACAAGAAATGAATATATCTACAATTGAAGAAAACCGACAAGTCCAAATAGAAATCTCACCAAAAGTTACGCACACCCAACAGAAGACAAATACAGTAATAATAACACCAAAAATAAGGCCGCCAACAAACAGGTACATCGTCACCACATTAGACAATTACAAAATACCCAAACACAAAAACCCTGAACCTTATTTTTCGGACCATAAAGACGTTGGAGAAAAAGTAGAAATCGGACAATTAGTACTGAAACTGCAAAGTAAATTAGCTAGAGATCAAAAGCCTTTAGAAAAAGTGTTGAACACAACAAGCATAGAAGAGTGGCGACAACTCATCTTTTTGCAAACAAATGAAATGTGTGAAGAGACAAAACCAGAATTGTTAAAAACTTTATTAGCTGGAAATAAACAGTGTATTTTACAACCAGTGAAAAGGTCTCCTTTACGAAGCGAAGTTATTAGATGGTTAAATAGCAATAATGAGATGCTAGTAAATAAAGTGGAACATACTGAAATAAGCAAAAATGTAGATGATTTGGAAAATTCGCAAGCTATTGGTTTGAATGAAAATGAAATTAATAGCAGTATAAGTTTAGAAGCTCAGGATAAGGTAAAAACAGTAAATTATACTAAAAACTTTTTTCTTTATTCGTTAAAGTTTAATAAAATATTGCGCAGTACTGAACAGTTTATTTGAAATTCAATCAGAAAACCGGCCTCCTACTCCACAGGATATAACAAATTTAAATTCACTTCAAGTTACAATGCAACCAGACGGATCCTTTCTTTGTTTTGGAAACAGTGAAAGTACAAAGGAGAACAGCAGTATCGAATCACCTACTGTTGAAGTAAGTATCTAGCCTAAATAAACGTCATAACCATATTATTTTGGCGTCTGATGTGGGACCCGGGAGTCATGGAACACTGCACAATCGAAACAGTGAACCGCAAAGCCATCAATATATTAATTTTTTCTGCTGTACAGGGCCAAGACCACGTCAAGCTTGACACTTAACACTTAAATCCAACTCTATGCCGCTTACGATAAGAACGGTCCAAAGTAAAAAGTGTGATGTGCTCTTGACTGTACCTACTATACCAATCAATGTCCATAGTCGACTACGTTAGCGCAATCCGAATTATTTTCCGGATTGGGCCAACATAGTCGGGTCCTTTTTTATTTTACAGCATTTTGAGATTTTGGTCGAATAGGTATAGGCGGTGTCAAAGATCACTTGTTTTTAAAACATTTAATATTCGTACCTTTTCGACCAAATCATGTAGAATAGCTGATTTTTTCGAGATACAAGGGAAGCCGTCATGTTTATTCTTCGCTTTGATGAATAGTCACCCTCCAAAATAACGTGAAGTAAAGAGTGCCTTGTGTAGTGTACGGACGTTTTCCAGGTCGACTTCCTAACTCTAATGTTAATAGAAGTACATGCATCGATAAGAGGAGAATTACACCCCGATCCGACAATAGATCCTATACAAGCAGTCTTTATTACAATCACTAACGATTGCCCTCCGAATCATACATTACCTAAGTCAGAAACTGAAATCCTTGTCGTCGACGATAGGACGCCACCAAAATTACTACATAGATGTGTATTTGATACTGATATTAGTTACGTTGATAGCGAAAATGACATTCTGGAAAGAGTTATTCAATTAGTGAAAAAACATGATCCAGACATCATGTGTGGTTATGAAATTGAAATGAATTCCTGGGGATACATTCTAGAACGGGCACAAGTGTTAGGCTTGGAAATTGTTAAGGAGATTTCAAGAATAACAGAAAAATATCGACAGAAAAAAATGAGGAACGAAGAAAATGATTTCGAAGGTAGAATCATTGGAAGGGTCATGTTCAATGTTTGGAGATTATTTCGACATGAACTAGCGTTATCCAGTTACAGTTTTGAGAATTGTATGTACGAAGTTTTGAATGAGAGAGTACCGAAGTATAGCTATGCGCAGTTATCGGAATGGTGGAATGAGGAATCGAGGATTCTAAGATGGATTCCAGTGGAATATTATTTGACCAAATTGTCCGGCACTTTGAGGATGTTGGAGAAGCTGGATATTATCAGTAAGTGCTGTCAAATTATCCATCTATCGGAATTCACCATAATAGTATTTCCGTCTTTCCTGCTGCGGTCAGCTGTGTTCTGTTTATTGACGTAGCGCAGTAGCCGCTACAATTTTTTTTTATTTACATCACTTTTTTATCAGTTTGAGATTGAATTCTAAATTGAAATGTCTCGTACATGTTTTTGGGACGCTTTCTTTGATTTATCATTTTTGTTTTCTTTCATGCTCAAGCACGTCTTATACTTTGTTTCTGTTTTTAAATCAACTGGAAATACATTTCAATTTGACCTTGCACACCTCGTTAGCACACATTCGGAGTATGTCAATGACGATGAATAAATTTCTGCAGATCGTACATCAGAGTTGGCAAGACTATTCGGACTTCAATGGTGGGAAGTACTATCACGAGGGTCACAGTTCCGAGTGGAGTCGCTTATGCTCCGCGCTGCCAGGCCCTTGAATCTAGTTGCGTTGTCGCCTACAGTGAGACAGCGGGCTGCGATGCGGGCACCAGAATGCTTACCTCTAATTTTTGAACCAGGTAAAAAAGATGTATAGAGTATGTATCTCCTAAATAGATGTGGTCGCGGGTTTTTTTTATTTTGTTGTTTCTGCCGGCTAATGGAAGTTGAAAAATACCCAGGTTACGTCAACACGTGTTTCTGGCTCAGTATTATCGTTAAAACCACTGGTTATACCGTCAAAAGGATATCGACATGCTGATTTTGATTAAAATCTGAATCGCATCGATCGGGCAGTCCCGAAATCAGATGGGTTTCCGAGCGAGAAGATGAACCTGATTCCTACTATCTCTTTCTAATTTGTGAGTTAAAGCAACTATTGTTCCGATTTGAAATGTCAAAAGTTTCCGATCGGCCAGTTGTGAATCGCAATTATGTAATATATAATAAAATGTTTATTTTAGTTATAGAATTTACTTTACATTAACAGTGGATGGTACTTAAATTAAGCTATAAAAAAAATTAAGCTTATCAAGCCTGTGTCAGGAGGTACCGCTCTTCCGTAGCTATAAATGCACATTTAACATTTTTTGCTTATACTTAATTTAATTTTTACATTCCCAAACAACGTCAAAACAAACAATTTTTTTAACAATTTTCAACATTCTTAACTTCTAATTGTAAATTTAATTTTAATCTTAAAATGTATATGTGTGTTAGTGTGTGTATGAATGTGTGTGTGCGAGCGTCAATGGGTGCGCGCGCTCGTGGGTGCGTGTGTGAATATCAAACTAACAGACACAAAATCCTTTAACATGCTGGCTGTGTCTGTCTGGTTAATCGGTTGTAAGACCTAGCAACTCTATTAGGTCCATTTAAGAGCTGGACCTGGATAGTCACTGAGAAAAAATAACAAACTAGTGGAGTTTAAAAAAAAGAATATGATAGAAAAAACATTATGATATTCAATAGAAATATTGTAATTACCAAGATGTCAGGTCCGACTACCTATTTACAGCCTTTGGAATCGAAACCCTTGACCCGTTGAGTCCCAGTGTAGTGCCCTTCATCTGTACAAAATTTTATAGAACAAATTAATAAACTGTCTGGAAAAAAGGGCCGGCAGCTACCTTTTTTTTTTTTTGTTAATCCGTTGGAATCTGCTTACAGATACCCCGGCCCCGCGGGGGCAGAGCCGGGGTTATGTGGGTCTGGGCTGAACCCTGAAGGGGAGCAGCCCGACCGCACTAAACTCGGAGAGGAGGAACACTCCGGGTTCCTCCTCTCCACTGTAGGTGGGGGTACGTGTACGCTGTTGCACTCGTCCGCGCCCCCCCAGCGGCTGGCTGCGCCCCGCGCAGCCCCTCCCCGAGAAGGGAGACACATCGGTCCCCCGACTCCGAATGTGAGGCTCGCCGAACACCAGACGAGCCTTCCATCCCGGGCCCCTTTATGATGGGCAGCGAACTCCCCCGAGTCCGCTACCCAGGGGCCACGGGGGGCCAGGACAGCATCCACTCATCTGTGAAGTTCAGTGGCTGCTCCCCCAGCCCCCGCGGCGGATCTGATGACAGGCTCCGCCGCAACACCTAACGCGCTTCCGCGCGGACTCTCCGAAGAGAGTCCCTTGGAGCGCCCATCTCGGGCCAACCGCCCACATTCGGCCGCGGAGGATAGGACGAGCGCCGGCAGCTACCTTGCCCAACGCATTAGCATAGCTACACAAAGGGAGAACGTTGCCAGCATCTTGGGAACTTTGCCGCTGGGACCCAATATTATTCATATAATTTAAAAATCCTAGTTTAACATTCCAGTATTTAAACTTTTATTGTCTTCTTTACCTTACCTGTATATTATCTTAATTAAACATATCCATTAATATAGCGACATCTCCGCTCCTCTTCTGCTGAGTGAAGAAGCTCTCATAGGTGGCGCTACGGCAAAAAATCATTTAAACTCAAAGATCTGCAACGAGAAAGATAGAAATTGTAAAATCCTTAGCTCAATTGGTAAGAGCAATAACCACATTGAGTCAGCAGACCCGATACAGTTCTTCTTTGTGTTTGTTCAATCTTTGTGTCATAATAACCACATTTATTTATATGTTGTCATTCAGAATCCCGGTTTTACTCGGATCCAATGATAGTCCTGGACTTCCAGAGTCTGTATCCGTCGATGATGATCGCGTATAACTATTGCTTTTCTACTTGCATTGGCCGCGTACAGAACATTACTGGGTAAGATATTGTTTTTGTTTTTTTCCGCATTTCATTCACGAGAATTTTTTTTTTTTTATTATTTTGTATATGTAACTGGTTCCACTTTATTATTACTGTTGGGGCTGCCTCGATACGGTAGTGCCTCAGGGATGTTCGCAGAGACTAGAATTGATAGTTTTCAGACAGTCGTACGCAAGAGAGTGGCATCCCTGTTGGCCAGAGTGAGAGGCAGCACCAACAGTCTTCTTAAGGTGATAGCAGAGAGGATGGACAGCCCAATCCTTAAGTATCGGATATCCATTCTTATTCATGAAAATGAACACTTTGCTTTCTACTAACGTAGTAGTAAGTACCTACTAACACCATATGGACTTGTAACTGTCTGAAATAAATTGTTTCAATTCATTTATATACTGCCTAAAAAGTACTTAAGTTATTTTGGTATTGCTTTCTGGGTTTTTTTTTGATGTCTGTGTTTTTTTCTTTAATGTAATTTATTCGTAGTATCAGACCGGCCTTAGCGGACTTTGCGCTGGTATTCTTTGTTGTCGTGATTGGTTCTTTTACATTATATTTCGTACGTAACGCCTGTCCCACGCTGGGTTGAGTAGTGACCACAACCTTCACTCGCTGTGCTCTTGACAAACCTCTTCCGCTTCCTCAACCACAACGATCCCTTCATACATGCCAGTTTATTTCTGGTACCTTTAACCTGGCCTTTTCAAGGACATTCCCATTCTGGTTGAGATATGCAGGGCGAGCTCTACCTCTCTCACCAAGCTTCCGTCCAGTTTAAATTAAATTCGAGTTTTTTTTGTCTAGTGACGCAGCCTACGAATTCGGAGCATGGCGTCTTAAAATTCCTAAAATAAAATTAGAAACGCTAATCAAAAACGGGTACGTAAACTGGTCACCCGTGGGAGTTGGGTTCGTGAAGCCATCAGTACGAAGGGGCATACTGCCAGCTTTGCTGCGCAGGATTTTGGCTGCAAGACAGGCCGTGAAGAAGGGAATGAAGCTGCAAACCGATGAGGGAGTTAAAAAGGCCATGCATTCCAGACAACTGGGTATGTATCTATTTGGTAGTAATAATGTGCCAGAAAAATCACTCAGATGCCAATATGCAGGGTTGCTTGTTAAATAATAACAACCTTGTATATTACAAACCTCATAAGCAACAACTTTTGTACCATGACTGTTTATAAAACATAATAAATTTACCAAAAGTAAACTTTTAAATTTTTGATGTACTATCTGATACTTTTTAGATCTGCATTAAACGTGCAAGTGTCCCCCCCCCCTGACCCCCACTACCGCAGAGTTATGATTGTTTAGATTGATCTTTTTAAATATAAATTAAATTTTTATTGAATTGATATTCAATTATTTTTTGTGAAATTACTCCACTAGTTTGTTATAATTATTAATACAAAGATCGAACATTCAGAAAAAAAACTCAGAAAAAATTCCTTCGATCCGGTCGGATTCGAACCGACGTGTTCTTGCGTACCGCTACGTGCCAGACGCTATACCAACTAAGCCACGGAACGAACCAACGGACCTCACGAATTCTTCTATGTGCTTGCGTCGTGTCTTTGTACTTGGTCTTTCAACGACTTTTTAGTCGTAGCGCCATCTATGAGAAATCTATGACAGATTTATCACTTTTTAAATATTGTTATTTTTGTATGAAAGTTAAATCTGATGAATAAAAGTCATGGAACAAAAGTTGTTTATGATGTTAGTAACACAGTACTACGAGATTGCCAACGTATTACAAATAGCCCTGTATAAAAGTTATTTTTTCAAATATTTCGACGTCCTCCTATAGTGCTCAGACTAATTGGTCATTGAGCCATCTTGAGGACGAGAAATTAAAACTTCTAAAGGCGGGATGGTCATCAACGTTATGATTGGTTTATGAGTTATAAATATTTTGTCAGGTCGAATTCTCCCGCGATTACCACACATTGGAAATGAAACTAGTTTTTTGGATCTAAATTCCGTATTTTATACCGTTTTTTTCTGATGACGAGCAATAGCTTTATGGGAGTAGTGACAGATAAAGTAGGATAGTTATTTATATGTATGTATACATACATTACGAGGCCGACAGATTTAGGTAAAGAAGTATGGAAAGACAGCAAAAGTCTAGATTCCACACAATTATGATTCAAAGTGTATTCCATAGCATTTAAGTTTATTTGAAAAGAGCAATCCCTAGAGTTTCTTGCTCGTTCTTCTTAGGGAGGTCAGGCGTAGTGAACGAGCATCACGGTGATTCACGCTCCATACTAAGGCGGTCATAAATACGTAACTCCGAAATTATTATTTTTTTTTTATTTTATTACGTTAAAATATGATTAGGTAAACGTAAATTAATAAAATTATACATTTTAAAAAATATTTGACAATATTTAGGTGTAAAAATGTCTCGCAGTAATTTTGTTTTTAGACGATGTATCTAAAACATTTTATACTGCGACTTTTAATGGTAAAACTGTGTAAATAATGATTATTTGTATTAACAATAACCACAAATGAATAAATTAAAACAATAAAAATACATAAAAAAGTTCATTTTACAAAATACAAACAAAACACAAATTATACCAAAATACATTAAATCTCAACAATATTAACTTTAAATACATAACAAGTCTAATACAGCTTTTGACAGTACACCTTTTTTTTTAACAGGTAACTTTCGTAGACCTGTTATGAAGGGATCTGAATGAAGAAGCAGCCTATTTACTAAATCTGTGTTGGTCACAATGCGACTCATTTTACGCGTATGATTTTTTCTAAAAGACTTGATGTATTTGTTAGTCGCTTCAGCTGCTTCTTCAGACAACTCTCCGATTGATAACAAACCGTAATCTATAACATTAGCACCATGAATTAGAACTTTGTGAACGGAAGCAGGCATGTTATACCACGGATACTCGGCAACTAACTGCCGAGCCGTCTCTAAAGCGAACTCTTCGAAGTTCGTCTTATTAATATTATATCCCGAATTTAAACATTGAAGGATGATCCAGCAACGATCTAGGAGATCCTTCTTGATCCCAGTAATTTCAGCGGAAATTTCTGAATTCGAGAAAAACCGCCTGGCTGTATTACCATCGTATGATGTTCCGCTTCCGCCACTTTTAGGCTTATCCACTATAAGCCCTAATCTTTCTCTAAATTGAGTCTGAACACATGATTTTTTTGCAGCAACAAGCATTTTGTCATTAGCGGACCTAGCTTGCCATTTCCTAACATCTAACTTGTACGCGACATGAACAAAATATTCAAAAAAACGTATTAACGCGTGAAGAGGTGATAAACCAAATTCATATTTACTCTCATCGACTTCCTTATTTAAACATTCGTCAATTTTGTTCATTTCACTGGGCAAGGCGTTACAAATAAAACATTTTGATGAAGAAACACCACTAAGTGCATTACACACTTTACCATCTACCATAGTAAGTTGCAAACAATGAGTAATGCGATATTCGCGATCTTCTTCCTTGAAAACAGTAGGCTGCAAGTTCCTTATTTTATCTTTAAAATGAGCTTCTTCCTCAACTGACACTGCAGTCGATTCCTTCAAATATCGGAGGCGTATAGGACGACAGTATCGAGTTGATGAAGGACGAGGATTTTTCCACAAAACTACTGAATTTTCTTTGTTATCTGTTGTCAAAACAAGCTGAAGTGGCACATACGAAGTAACAAACAGGCTACTGTCTTCAAGAGTGGAGTCAGAAAAACACTGTTTATATTCTGAATGCCCTGTACTGCCATGGAAACCCCATTTCCCTATCAAAGATATCTTATCTAGAGACTCATTAGGTACACTATCCAAAACATCTTTTTGAGACTTGAGAATCCGATTGGCAGTATTATCTAATAAACTTTGAAGTTCGACTTCGGCGGATGATTCTGTAACAGTAATATCTGAAGGATAACAGTGTTTTTTAGATTCCACGACACTTTGGTAAGATGGGAAAATGGTTTTTGAAAACTTATTGTCTATAAATTTCTTTACTAATATATATTGATGTCGAGTTAACTGAGCTTCAACAATGAGCGATAAAACTTCGCTAGAATCGATTTCAGGACAAGACAAGCTATCGGACGCATTGAGCAATGACTGTACAAGAGAAGGGTCTTGGTTAGACAAACTAGCCAATCTTCTCCTTTTTGTACGTTTACTGGTGTCGTCAAAGTTAATTCTCGGACGGCCATGCGATGAAGAAGTTGATGGTTTAACTTCGTCAAAGCTCTGAGATACACGTAACTCAGTTCGCTGTACATCAATATTTTCAACGACATGCAGCCAATCTGAATATTTTTCTAAGAATTAAGATCTAGTACGATTCGACTTTGCCCAGTAGTGGGAAATTCGTTTACAAATATTCTTAATTTTAAGGCTTAAAGTCTCTAAATCAATATTTTCGATGTCGTCAGAAAGGGATGATGTTTCGGTCAAAGTGCTCAGGACGTGTTGCATTTTTTCATTTGGATTACCCACTTTAGAGTGCCAAATATCAAAAATTGTCATCCTCGATACAGAACATTTGAAAAATGTACCTAAAACAATATGAAAGCTGAACTTAAAAAAAAATTAAAAATTCAATACTATGGACATGCATACTTTGACACCCCTTTAAGCCAAGAAGAGGCAGCAAGATGCAAATGAAACTTATAGCTCTTAATAAGGACATACTCCTTATTCAAAAACCATATACCTCCGGTGCAGCTCAGCGCAGCCAAAAGTTGTAGGTCTAAAGGAAATTAAGTTATGCCAAAAATTTTCACCAAAAAACTGCCTTCAATAAAAAAATTATATAAAAAAAATATGCATAAAAAAAATTAAAAAAAATTGATAATAAAAGTACATACCATGCTCTTGGATCTCCATGCTTTCACAACACGTAAACACTTGATTTGGAATAGTGACACTCAAAAACAAAGTGATTAAGTTTCGATGACTCACACGTGGTGATAATTAGTCTCGCGATGCGCTCACTTCCGATGCACAAAAGTGAATGATAACGTGACCTAATTACATTGATATTTATAGTTTTTGGAAGCTTGTTAACTAGTTACTAACTTAGTGAGTTGATCTAACCGGGATAAGCCAATGATTTTTTTTGATTTATGGCCTATGGGGGAATCACAGTGGAGCAGTAGCATCAAAAATGACGTTTTTAAGTGTAAAAATTTTACCTATGGGATAAATAATTATTTGACTTTAACATAAACGCCCGAACGTTTCAGGCCTCTAAAAAAAACTTTTCAAACAAACCGACAATTCGTTTAAATCATCCGTGACCATGAACGTTGTTGTGTTTGAAAAACCAAATATACCTGATTTAGATCCGAAAAAAATAGTTTTATTTCCGATTTGTCAGGTCTCAAGCTAATAGCAAATGTGACGTATGGATACACGGCGGCGAACTTCAGCGGGCGAATGCCGTGCGTGGAAGTGGGGGACAGTGTGGTGGCTAAGGGGCGAGAGACGCTCGAACGGGCGATCAAACTGGTGCGGGACAGTAGCTGGAATGCTAAGGTAAAGCTGGACGCTGGAATGGTAAGGTGAGAAATGGGGATTGTAGCATCTGAACCCGGGGTCGGTTTAAAGCAACGCAACCCTAATGAGCCCAGATGCGAGTATCGTGTGTCAAAAATAATTAAATTTAGTCGCATCGAGTTCAGTTGCACCTCGAGAGATGACATTAAATTTGTATCGTCCGAACCCGATTTCATTTTTGATAGATGGTTGGTACATTTTGTTGCTTTAGTCAGCATAAATAATACTAGAGACGCAATGTCCTACAAACAATTGTCAAAATCTGGACGAAAGACTAAAAAAATATTTCTCATTACATTTTTTATTGAAATGATATTATTCAATTATTTTTTATGTGAAATTACTCCACTAGTTTGTTATAATTATTAATACAAAGATATATACGAACGAACACTTATATAAACGAACACTTAGAAAAAATTCCTTCGATCCGGCCGGATTCGAACCTATATAAATCTATATATATTTGTCTTGTTTTTTATTCAATATCAAACTTATAGTATAACGACTGAGTCTTAATTTTTGAGCAGTCCTGTAAAATGTAGTCGAGTAGTTTTAATAGATCTTAAAAGACTGAGTCTGTTTCATCACTACTATATAAGGAATTCATTATTTTTCTAGTTATTTTTTTTTTATTGGATAGAGTTGAAAAAAATACTGTCTTCCGACAAAGTTTCTGTTTCTATTTAACGAAAACAAATTAAGGAAGGGTTAGGTATTACCATGGTATTACAAAATACTTGATACACAAACATTTAACTATAGTTTATAACAAATTATTAACTGTAGAGTTACATGGTTATGTACTTAGAATAATAACGCATAGAAACCTAGCCCGCACACGCTAAGTGAGGCAAGTTAGAGGGTTCCAAACGCGTCCCAGGAGCGCGCGGGCTGTTAGTGCTCAAGGTCATATTGCACCGCGAACAGCTCCAAAATTTTTTGCTAAAAATGACGAAATGTGCGGTAAATGGGTGTAAAAATACAACAGACAAACAAAATAGACACTAACATCGCATTCCACAAGTAAGTAATGCGTTCCAACTCATATTTTTATGTAAATATTCACTAAAACAGAAAAATAATTTCGCGGCAACAAGATACGAAAGTGTTGCAAAGTAACGAATTTTTTTTCTCCCCATTTTGCTATTCTGTTTCAAAATAATTATATTACGTAAATTTTAGTTGGTGCCTGTTATTTGCGCATCTTGAACTAATATTTACTTGAATAAACATTAAATGTTTTCGTTAACTCCTGTAAGTGATGCTATATCTAAAGTAGTTGATTGGTTTGCTGTTAATAACCTACTTCTTAATGAGAAAAAAACAAATTGTGTGAAATTTACATTACCCAATGTTAGAGAGACGGTTACAAACATTGTAGTTAGAAACGAAAAATTGAATCTTGTGGATACAGTTGTATTTCTAGGTATAACGTTAGATGCTAAATTGCAATGGGGTCCCCATATAAGTAAGTTGTCAAAACGGCTCAGCTCTGCAGTGTACGCGATTAAAAAAATAAGGAAACTTTCAGACGTCGAAACCGCTAGATTGGTTTACTTCAGCTACTTTCACAGTCTAATGACATACGGCATTTTGCTTTGGGGTAATGCCGCCGATATCAATAGAATCTTTGTCCTGCAGAAACGTGCAGTTAGGGCAATTTACAATCTGGGCCCCAAAGTATCTTTGAGAGATAAGTTTAAGGAAATTGACATTCTTACACTAGCCTCACAATACATTTATGAAAATATAATTTATGTTAAAAGGAATAGTAATTTCTTTATGAAAAATAGTGACAGACATAACATTAATACGAGGAATAAAAATAAACTAGCTTTTCTTGATAGTCGTCTTCACAAAGTCAAACAATCATTTAAGGGGCAATGTATACGCTTCTATAACAAGATTCCGGTTGATATACAAAATTTGCCTTTCACGAGGTTTAAAACTATAGTGAAACAAAAACTTTATACTAAAGGTTATTATACAACTTCTGCGTACTTGGATGACAAAAATCCGTGGTAGTAACCCGTTTAGCTCATGGAGGTAGTCTCAATCTGATGTTTCAAATAAAAAAATATTGTAAATGTTATTTACAAAGAGCAACCCCTAGAGTTTCTTGCTCATTCTTCTCAGGGGAATCTGCCTTACGAATGAGCGGTAGAGTTTAACCATTGTGACGATTTCAAGTGTAATAATGCTTACCTATGAAATAAAGATTATTTTGATTTTGATTTGATTTTGATTTTGATTTTTGGGACACTTAATTATTTTATAATACTTTTAACGGCTCTGCGTTCATGCTTTATTGAATAATTATTTATTTAAATTTTATTTGAATTGGAGCACCTATTGCAATAAATTTACAGTATATATTTGTTTCTACTATAGTGTTGGCACCACCAGTACAACTTTGATAGCTTATTATGTCTTTCTTTTCGTAACTCAAGCGAAATATATTATATTTAAATATTTTATTTTCTTAAAAGGGGAGCATTCTTAAGCGATTTTTTAATCTATTTTAACAGTTATTTTCTTTAATGTTTGCTTATGGCATTTTCGGTTTTAGGTTTCGAATATGGCACTTACTTCTAAATCCAAGATGACGGGCGCGATTTTTCGAATAATGGCAAGTTGGGTATCGTTTTCGAGATGTTTGGGAATGTTCAATACAAATATGGCACTCATTTCTAAATCCAAGATGGCAAACACGACAGTTCAAACAAAAGCAATATTCGTAATGAGCACCCCCAAATACCTCGAAAACGATACCCAACTTGCCATTATTTGAAAAATCGTGCCCGCCATCTTGGATTTACAAATAGTGCCATATTCACATTGAGCATCCCCAAATACCTCGAAAATGATACCCACACAGCATTTTTTTGAAAAAATCGTGCCCGCCATCTTGGATTTAGAAATGAGTGCCATATTCGTCATGAGCACCCCCAAGTACCTCGAAAATGATACCCATATTGCATTTATTTGAAAACTCGTGTCCGCCATCTTGGATTTAGAAATGAGTGCCATATTCGTAATGAGCATCCCCAAATACCTCGAAAAGGATACCCATATAGCATATTTTGAAAAATCGTGTCCGCCATCTTGGATTTACAAATAAGTGCTATATTCGTTTTTCATCGACAAAACCGAGCATATCTGTAGGCACCTGATCGACATTGTCGGGCAAATCTGTAGGCACCTTTAACTTAATGATGAGTTAAGCA